TGAATCGATGCCCTGGGTATCGAAAAACACTTGGGATCCACATTCCGAATTTTGATCCTTTGGCTGCAACCGCGGCCCACGTATCGAGCACTGATCTTTGGAGCAACCAACACCAATGGCCGACCGTCTTTTGGGGCTACACTCGAAATCCGTGTGCCGAGTTTTGACTTTCGAAGTCTAGCGTTGGCCGGAAAAAACCCTGATCCATATACCCAGCGATCATCCTCTCCCAGGCACTTATACTGCGCATTACACTGGCAAACCAAAATCCACATGCCCAGCATTCATTTTCGACATGCTCGATGCGAGGCACACCCGAGATCAACGTACCGAGTTTGGACTTTCGAAGCTCATAACTTAGAACGCTGGCCGAAACAAACGCCAAGATCCGCGTAACCAGCATGCATTTTCGAAGCACTTGCAGTAATGTGCGATACACGCGAGATCCGCGTACCAAATTTCGACTTTCAACGCTAATAGCCTACTAATTGCATTAGCCGAAAGACCAGCGTGCATCTTCGAAGCATGCGGTTTCGGGGCTGCGAAAAGTTTTTATGGAATGGAGCGCCGCCCCCTTGTGACAATGCTAGCCGGTGTTCACTGATCACTCACTCTGAAACTCAATTCAAAAACTGAAGTCACCGGAACCTTTTTAAAGCTCTGCGGTTCCACCACACAGCCGACAGTGACAGCATCGGAATGCCAGGATAGAGGGCCGAAAGCCGAGGAGGTCGTCAACAATGATGATGCAGTGGGTCTCCGAAAGCCGCCTCTGAGAAGCTGGACGATGTGGTATCCGAGGCCGGCAGAGTCTCTGAGGCCCGATTCTCCGAGGCCCAGTCCCCGATTCTCCGATGTCAGCAAAGTCACTGACACTGTCGCGCCCGCGGCCAGTGAAGGGCTGCTGCAGCTGCAAACAAGGAGGATAACGGCACCCGGGGCCCTCTCTTGAGCACACGGACGCGTCTGTCGGGTTTTTCTTTGCTACCAGCTTGCTTGTCGTCCAAGTTGGAGGCAGAAGTCGCTCGGCCAGCTTCGCCTGCATAGGCTGTTGCACTGATTTGAGGATCCTCCGCCCCAAATCACACAAACTGTCCGTGTCTTCCGTGAGGAGGAGGTCCCTGCGAAGCGCCACAACGTATATGCGAGGTCACCTCACACTGTGACCGAGTGCTGTGGGGCACAAGCGTGAAGTGGAGCACTACATAAGGCTTGAAAACTCTGAAGACGAAAACGATCTGTCCCACTCACCCTCCTAATGCGGTTCTGCTCTGGGCGCCCGGCCATGGCATGCAGATGAACACCGCGGTGTGCTTCGGCTTCACTCTCACGCTGGACTAAGCAATGGCTCAATTATGATTTAGAATTTCCGGTATTACTCCTCATTCTGATCTGGGCCAACTAAAGGTTCCTATTTATTAAGGATGTCACGGTCAAGATGATGGTCACTTAGTCATTAAATTATTTTGTTGTCACGGTCACACTTCGGGTTGTTTGGATTCATTCATATGAAGGATGTCACTGTTCACGACGGTAGGGTTTCATGATTAATATGAAGGATGTCACTGTTCACGGTGGTAGGGTGTTAAGAATATCACGGTCACACTAAGCTTGAGCAGAGCAATAGGACCAATAGGAAGCATCAAACCCCAACAACCCGAAAGATTAAAAAGTTTCCGAAGGCGCCACCCCCGTTAATGCGCGTTACACCCGAGATTCGCGTAATGATTGCTGACTTTCGCTGCCTCAAGAAACGCCAAGATTCGCGTTAAGGGGTCACGTTTGAAGCACGTACAGTTCTGCCCTACAGCCTTCAGTGGGAGCCTGAATTCCTGAAGAGGCGAGCCAGACATTGCCGCTTCTAGACGCTCGATTCCATGACCACCCACTCGAGACAAACACAGCACACCACTAGACGCTCGATTCCACAAGCGCCCACTCGAGACGCACATCAGTGGCACAACAGCACATCAAAACCAGCCATTCCCCATCTGGACAGACCCATTCGACAAGCGCCCACTCATCAAAACAAGCCATCCGCTCGAGACGCACATCAGTAGCAGCAGAACAATCAAACCCAGCCATTCCCCGTCTAGACGCTCGATTCCACAAGCACCCACGCGAGACGACGTCAGTGGCAGCACACCACATCCAACCCAGCCATTCCCCATCTAGAATCTAGACGCTCCACTCCACGTGGAACCATCGGATCGTTCACAAATAGAAGTGATTGTTTGAAAGCGGTTTCCTGAGTGTGGACGCTCATCGAGGCGTATTTCAACCCAGCGATGCGAGATAAAGCGGACCCCCCTGTACCATGCAAGTGCACTGCAAAAACGACGAAAAAAACATCATGTAAACATAACCGATCCCGGTGACGTCCTTGGGGGGAATTCTTCACCGAAAGCGCGAGGTTTGCGCAAACATCTCCTTGGACCTGACTGATCAACCCGTTCACGACAAGCTGTCAAATTGCAACAGGATGCCACAGGGTACCACGACCAGTGCATTCGAGGCGGCTTCTTGCTGCGAGGGTCAGCAGGCTTAGCTCGTCCTGACGCCGTTCACGAGTTGCGGGGAGATCGGAGTTTCTTGGGAGAACAAGTGCTCTTGCAAAGATCAGTGCCCTTGTTCTCACCGAGCCCTGGCACTGTCCCTTCCGAAGGCGCGCCAGAGAACTTTGCCAGCATCCTGCAGAAAGCCAAAGAGTGCCCTTACATACTGTGCCCTCAGCTTCCGTTCTGACCAGCCTTAAATCCCAGAGCCGAGCACGCGGTCAAGAACTGGATGCGGGACACCGTCACCTCATGACGCGCCAGCTTACGAACTCTTTCATTTGTTTTCCATGCTCAAGCCCACCGAACACCCCGGTGCGCCGTCCAAGTGGCTGAGTCATTGGGGCTGAGCACCAGCCGCCAGGCTCGCAAGTAGCTTCCATACGTGCGTCGTAGGTCGTAGGTGCCTGGGCTGGGGGGAGCCGCAAGCCTGAGATCCGCGACTCCGCGACTGTCATTCCAGGCTTCCGCACTTTTTGAAGTCTGCCAAGGTCTCCATGACGAGCTTCGGATCCCAGGTTTGCTTCTTACCTCAAGCATCAACTTAGTAAAGGGCTTGATTGAAGCTGGCCTTGCGCTCCAGATGTGTAAGACTGAGAGAAAGACGGTCTCTCATTGCACACTGCCGCGCGGTACGCTTGATCTTTGCCCGCCTTAGCGGTCGATATTCAGCTACACTGGTTTGGCACACGCTGCCTACGCTTAAGGCAAATTTCGATCATGCCCGGCGAAGTTTTTCACGCTGCGATGTGCAAAAATGTCAAACAGGAGAGGGTTGTCCACTGTGCAAGCTGCCGGTGCTCCTGTCCAAGCTCGCAACAGACTGGACCCCTCGATAGCACTGGAGGCTCTGCATTTTACTGATTTAACAAGCACAACACTGCCGGACACCTCAAGGACAGAAACCTTGGCGGGCGCCACCGCGACGGCGGCTGCCGCCCAAAATTGCAGTCCCACTGTGGAGACTGTCATGATGTCATGACTCCGTCATGGAAACTGTGCAGGCTATGGCCGCATCTGGCAATCCGTCCGGAGATGCATACATTGTTGTGCCACGCGGGGTTCAATCGCAGAATTGACTCCAGTTTGCGGACTGCCAGGTGCTTTCCCTACCAAAATGAGAGGCCGCAACAGCATGGGCATGCTACCGTTCCTGTTGCGGCTTCAAAAAAGGCGACGAATCGATAAGTTGTCACAAGTTGTGACTTCGACAAGTCCCACACCCGCGAGCACGGTTTCACAATAGAGTCAATAGAGGAATCTTTGCATTTGTCTTAGACAGACGACGCGCCGAACACTGGCAAAAACGAAGCTTCGAAGCTACTCTGTCCCTCGACATATCCTGTCGCTGCATCCCGTCCATGTGATCTGATCTTGGCTGGGCTCCCTCCTTGCCAAAACCAGCATGCGACAAGAAATTCAGTGGCGATGCTTTCAACATTGGCCCTGGGTGAGGCCGCACAATTTTGCATCTCTCATCGTCTGAGGCTGGCCTCCACAATTACATCCCCTGCTTCGGTTCACCGCCTATGCTCAAACTCACGTGTTCGATTTGTAGCCAAAGCTCCTATGGCAAGCCTGCGATTCGTACGATTGCAAGATCCCCCTACAATAGTTCTCCAGCATGTCGAAACCGCGAGTAATTGATGCAATGTGTTCCAACATGCCAAGTGCTTTTATGGAGTGCATCTCGTCAAATTCCCAAACATCAGCCCGCACAAGTTCCGCCGAACCAACAGGAAATCCCGCATCCAGTTTGCCATTATCGTGCAACAAATGAAAAGACAAAAACTGCTACATGAATCTCCATGGGACAAATTGCCAAACTTAAACGACCTAGGGTAACCGTGCTCGCCGCTAATGCTGAAGAGAAAGAAAGCTCGCCGCAAGCTTCTTCAAAGCTTTGCAAACGGGCCAGGAGCAGAACTCTTCTTGCGGAAGTCGGCCAGCACCACGTCAATCAGCGTCTGGCCGGGGAACACCTGGCATTCCAGTCACACACCCGGTCGGGGCTTTCTCTGATGATGGGAGCCCGGCCTTGGTGCCTTCCTTGGCCGCGCAGGCCTCCAACAGCTTGGAGGGCTCGAAATAGTCAATTGGCAAGTAGTTGGAGTTCTTCGTGAAGCGCTCCTCACGAACGAGTGCGAGTTGTGCACTGGGGTTGAACTCGTGATCTTTGTCAGCCGTTTGACAGCTGCAGCAATGGCGGCAGCCGCGGCAGCAGCATCAGCAGCAGCAGCCAGCAGCCGTAGCCGCCGCAAGAGCAGCAGCACCGA